GAGCTGGAGCGATAGCACAGCGGGTAGGGCGTTCGCCTTACAAGCGGCCAACATGGCCGACCCGAGTTCGATTCCTCCGCTCCTCTCGGAGAGCCCAACAAGCTACCGAGACTATTCGATATGCCAGACACAGTAACAACAAAGTCTCCAATGGAGACGTTACTGGGCCCGCTCGAGCAAATCGACAATCAACGGGAGGGCCTTTACCTTTACCTAACCTAGCACTCGGTGCCCTCTCTTTAGGCAGTTTCTTAGTAATATTGATGTCTTTAAGTAATTTCAGGCTAAAGAAAGCCTATCTCGTTTGCATAAATCCAGGTCTATTAAAATCACTGTATCGAAACTGTGCAGTCACAATCATTTGAAATCTAGAACCCAGGAAATAGGAACTGTAGAGAACTTTTCTAAAGGACAGTCATTGCTATGGTTCTGTGTACATACCCTTGGTTACTAAACAAATGACAGCAATAATTGTTCATGTACCAGTTTTATCATTAGTAACTTGATTCTATTAATTTCCTCTTCTTTCTCAAATTCCCTTGGTACCAGTTTGAGTGGGACAATGGATCCTAAATATAAAGATGAAAATGCTAACAAAAGGAAATCACAGTTCATGAAAGCAGTAGGAACAATTTTCCTATTTGTTTGAATTTTCTAGCATTGATACCAATCACTTATTTAGATCTCAAAATTTGGTAATTATTCCAAGTAATCTTTAAATGAAAGACAGTTTGGTTGGCAAACTTCAATTCTATGGGAGTTTATTAAGACCATAGATACTCTCTCTGTCTTCCTTTGGTGGTACTTAGTCTAAAATTGCCCTCCCCAAAAACTGTCAATTCAACAAGGGATTAATTCAAGCATTGTACCCATAGTCTAAGTATACAAGATCCAATTCTACTTTTAGAGAATATGTCGTGCTGGAATTATGATGAAATATCCTATGGTGATACAAGATATGATAGAGCGTACCTAACTGCTTCAAATTGACTCATTGGATAGTCTCTTTCTACCCCCCAGCCCCCGTTAATTTTTTATTTTGGCTTTCGATCCACATTTGGGTGATGCTCAAGGCTTACTTTTGGCTCTGCACTCAGTGGTCACTCTGGGTGGGGCTTGGGTTCTTATATGTGATGCCAGTGATTGAACCTAAGTCAGCCTTATGACATGCAAGTGCCTTCTCTGCTGTATTATCTCTCTGCCTTACTCCCACCTCTTTTTACATTTGGGGCTTAAGAACCAGTGAGGTAGCACAGTGGACTGGCACATGTATGTGGGAAGCCCTGATTTGATCCCTGCTACCACACAGTCCCCCAAGCACAGCTAAGAGCGATACACCACCAGCAAAGAGCCAGGAATGGCTCTAAAAAGAAACTTCCTTTATAAGCATCAGAAAGATTTAGAAATCGATTTTGAACTTCTGACTCTTGTTATTAAAACCCTTTTATCTCTTGAAGGCAATTGCTATATTGGTGAAGAGAGTATTAATCATTATAGCCAGACTAGTTCAAATTCTGGCTCTAGGTCCAGAGAGAAGATAAGCACCTGTTTTGCATACTGAAGACCTGGGTTCAGTCCTCTGCACTCTGTCCTCCACCAGGCTCTTCTGGGAGCAACCCCTGAGTACCACCCTGAGAATAGTCCCTGAGCACCACTGGGTGTGGCTCCAAACCATAAAAAGAGAAAGGAGGATGGAAGGGATTGTACAGCGGGTAGGGTGTTTGCCTTGCACGCAGCCGACCCGGGTTCGATTCCCAGCATCCCATATGGTCCCCCGAGCACCGCCAGGAGTTATTCCTGAGTGCGGAACCAGGAGTAACCCCTGAGCATTGCTGGGTGAAATCCAGAGAGAGAGAGAGAGAGAAAGAGAGAGAGAGAGAGAGGAGCAGAGGATCTCTTTGCGGGTGATGATATCCAAGATCTCTTTATGAGGAAAATGGTTTTGGATTTCCATGGATCCTTTTCCTTAATTTGCTCATTTTATTTTTGTTATGAATAGGCTCCAATTACTTCTCCTCCTCCCATCCCAAGTTGGAACCCAATGTGCTCAGCCTACCTGTACGTTCCCATTAGTGACAGCCTGCCTTGATGCCATGGTGCATAACCTTTTGTGATCCTTTTCCTCCATAAATACCAGATCTGTGACTTACTCTTTTTTAATGGTTTATTAGCAATTTTTTTTCTGGTTTATTTTTAAGTTTTTATTAAGGGTCTGTTATTTACAAATTTATTGATATTTGAGTTTTAGGCATATTTCAACACCAATCCCACCTTCAGTGTTGACTTCCTCCACTAGTATTACCATGTTCCCTCCCCACCCCAGCCCCAGTCCCATCCCTGCCTCTCAACTTGGTACATTACAAAATTCCAGTAATTGCAACTTAGATCTCATGTTTTCAGTGTTTTTGAGTCTGCATTTTGGTTATATGGCTATACTTCCTCTATGGTTTATTAACAAATTTGACAGTGAAAATAATTTGGTGTTAGACTGAGACATTGATAACTTTAAATGTTTTATTCACCCTGGAAAATTTGAATTTAGTAGTGTCAAATATGGGAGTCTGGAAAAATAGTATAATGGGTAGGGCTCTTTTCTCGCATGGCCAACGTAGGTTCTATCTCTGGCACCCCATATGATCCCCCCAAGAACCGCTAGGAGTAAGCTCTGAGCACAGTCTGGTGTGGCCCCAAAACAAAAATAATGTCAAATATGGGAAAATTTAGGGAAAGAACCTTTATGTCACTCATCAAATAAAGTCAGCTTCTAGACCTGGCTAAGCTGGCACCACCAAGGAGAAGATAGGGACAGTCTGAAACATCTTAATGTCATAAAATAGATAATGTAGCTGACAGTAAAGAGGTTCCAGAAAGATAGCTCAACGGTCTGAGCACTTGCTTTACATGTGGGAAAACAGCTTTGATCCCTAGTATCACATGCTCCCCTGAGCCCTGTCAGGGGAAAACCTCTGAGCCTAGCATTGTCAGCCTCAGGTTCCACCAGATATGACTCAAAAAGTCAAAAAAAATTTTTAAGGGAGGAGAAAAAGATTAAAAAAAACATATATAAACAACACACCATGTATATGTGTATATATAAAGACACATAGATAAACACACACCATGTATATGTGTAGATATGTGTTTTATAAATGCATATAATATGTGTTATACATATACATACATACATACATATATATATTCTGCAGAACAGAACCAGATTGTTTCTGGAAAAGATGATGTAGTAATTTTCCCTCCAAGACTCTGAAATCACCAGAAATGTTTGGAATGAATGTTTGAATAAGGTAGACTTGGGAGTGGGGTGGAGACATGTCCATGGAACTGAAACTACCTGATGATACTTTCTGCCCCAGTGGTTTCATGTTCCTGGCAAGACTAAGAAAGTACCTATTGTTCAAATCAATGAGCTCTTTTGTTTGTGGATGCATCACATGTTGCCAGTTGACCAGCGGCTATGCGTTGAGCCTTTGTGCACTGAGCTATTCATGGTTGCTCAGAAGCAACCTTGTTCCACACAGGGTGCCTGTGTTCTGTGGAGGTGAGAGACCTTTTACCAGTGACGAACCTTTCAGATTATCCCAAGATCAGGAACTACGACATCTTCATCTATGTTAAATTCCAGGCCTGTGGTACTTTGAAGAAGAAAGCCTCCAGAATGATCCTTAAGGCCTTGGGAAAATGGTCCGGGGAATAAAGTGCTTGCCTTGCCTGTTGCAGACCCCGCTTTCATCCTGGCAGTGCTGTGGTTCCCTGAGCACTGCCAGGTGTAGCACCCAGTGAAAACAAAACAAAGAGCTTTGCAATATTACTTGACTTCTAATTTCAAAAATAGCAAAATAATAAAAGAAGAAAAAGGAGTCAGAGAGGTAGTCTAAAAGCTAAGGTGTTTGTCTACCAACACACTGCAACTGCAGCTGTGACACTGGGTCAAATCTCGGCACCACACAAGGTCCCTTGAGCACCACCAGAATAGAAACAAAGATACCGCTTTTATGATTGATCTTTGATTTTTACCCATACATGGTGGGGTTTGGGGCCGGGGGGGGGCTACACCTGTCTTTGCTCAGGGCTTACATAGAGCTCTGTGTAGAGGACCATCTGCAGTATCCGGGATTAAACCTGTGGTGGCTGCTTGCAAGGCAAGTGCCTTAACCCCTGTTGTATCACTTTGACCCTATGTACATGGTGTGTTTTTGTTGTGTTGTCGTTGTTTTTGTCCTGCTCTCTAATTCATATTCTCAATACTTAGATTGGAAGTATTGAGAAATCAAAGTAACCTAAACCTTAATGTGAAAGGAACCTAAATTTCTCTTCTTTATCCTTGGTTCCCGTTGCTGGGGGGTAAGGGGCATTGGTAAGGATGTCTCCATTATTTTTTCCTGTCTTTTCTGTGTATTGTTCCCTGGCCTCATCATATGACAGATGGGTCAGAATTTTTTTTTAATTCTTAAGTACATGTCATTGTATTCTACCAGGGGGTTGAACCCAGGGACACCTACAAGGAGACATTCACTACCACTGAGCTGTATCTTTGGCCCCCAGAGATACGTTTTCGCATTAACATTTTGCTTCTGATTCTGTGTGTCCCTGGCTCAGCTGCCCAACAGCTCCCAAATGGTTGTCTCCTATTGCTCATGACTGTCTTTTTCTAAGGTAACATTTGAATTTATCTTGAGTGTAAAGAAAAAATTTTAGAAATGTTTTTAAGTAGCTGGGCTTCATGGACGATAGATCTGAGTGGGTGGATGTGGGCCTCGCTTAAAAGACTAAATAAAGACTGTTGGTAAGAACACATAGGTTGAGAGATATTTCGTCTTCCTTTTTCCATACCAACTTGATCTATGAGATTAAGCACTCTGCTAGTGGTATTGCTAATGAAGTCTTGGCTCCCCTTCGGTACTGTTTTGCCACTACTGGAACCTGTTTGCCTTGATCCATTTCATCATTTGATCGTTTGTGTTTATTTTCTTCTGTCTTCCCAGGTGGCATTGGTAGGGTGGTCAACGGAGCCTTCATGGTGCTGAAAGGGCATCGGTCTATTGTTAACCAGGTTCGATTTAATCCCCATACCTACATGATCTGCTCTTCTGGTGTAGAGAAGATTATCAAGGTGAGGTACCTTCCTTTCCTGTCCTCTTAAATAATTATCACTCACAACCTATCACTTAGCATATCAGAGGTCAATCAAAATTCTCAAGGAGCGTGTATAAACATTTCCTGGAAGACCTTTTTTCAAAGTAGCCACTAAGGCACCAAGGAGACAGCTCAATGGTCTTGAGCTTGTGCTTTGCATACAGGATCCCCAGGTTTGATCCCTATCTCTGCACGGTCTACCCAACATTGCTGGGAGGAGCCCTGGAGCAAGGAGTCCAGACCACAGGTGTGGTCCCCAAAACAAAAGAAAGTTACTGCACTTTGATACAGGGTGTGTTCCAGACACTGCCTTGTGTGCCAGTAATATCCAGTGGCCTCTGACTTTGAGTCTGACCAATTTTGCTTTCCAAACCTCGTCTGGAGGAAACCAGGAGTCTTTTGCTTACCCAGTGTGAACTTTGTCCTAATGGCTGTCCTAATGTGACATTGTTCTAGGTGACTGCCAGCAGCCAGAGCTGAGTTGTCTTAGGGCTTACCAAAAATGCTGTGTGGCTGTGATTTAGCTCAATACTCATACCAACTGTGCATTGATTAAATGAACTCAACTGTGCCAAAGAATATTTGGCCAGAGAAATAGTACAGCGAGTAAGGTTCTTGCCTTGCACGTAGCCAACCCAGTTTGGTTTGATTCTTGGCACAACATAGAGTCCCCAGGGGGCCTCCAAGAGTGATCCCTGAACACGGGGCAAGTCCTGAGCATAGCCGTGTGTTGCCAAAACAACAGCAACAAAAAATAACATTTTTATAACCTGCAGATGAGAAATCCAGCCTGTCCCGTATCCATGGAAGGATGCCCACTGCCCATGACTCATTCCAAGTTATCAGTAGCCCTTTCCACACCTCAAAAAATGAGAATTGGGGGCAAGTGGTAAACTTTGGGGGGCCCTGTAACAAAATTACTTTTATTTGTCTATTTGGGGGCCACACTAGCAGCACTCAAGGGTTACTCTGGCTCTGCACTCAGGAATTACTCCTGGCAGTGCTCAGGGGACCATATGGGATGCTGGGAATTGAACCCGAGTTGGCCATGTGCAAGGCAAATACCCAACCCTCTATACTGTCACTCCAGCCCCCAAGATCCTTAGAAAGGATAGATATTACAACAAAAAGTTAAAACTTTTTTCAAAATGTTTGTGGAAACCTGAAGGTTTTGGGGGAAAAGTTTTTTAAAAAAAAGAATGGTTTGTGGTAATTTGGTAGTTTTTCCATTTTCTTTGATCATGGGATTTGGGGTTGTGGGGGAGGGTTGAATATGCAGAGTTAAACCAAGTTGTATCTGAGGCAGGGAAACTATCAGAAATAAAATGTTAAATTTTTATCAGTATTTTCATTTGCCCTTAAATCCCATTTCCTTCATTTGGGATTTGTTGGCCTTTAAGGTAGGACTAACTTTCATGATTGTCCATTTCCCCATAGGGCTCGAATAGGACTTCTAGATTGCTTTAATGATCTTCTTTTTACAGATGATGAGATTTGAGTTATGAACAAACTGTCTGGGGTTCATTATATGGCTCATTAGTGGCCAAGAGAATGTAAAGTGCTGTCTTTTGTTCTTGTTCTTCCCAGTGTGCCAGTATAGTCATCATGCCAGGGGCAGGCAGGAGGCAGTCGGATGCTCCTGCTGGATCTGACAATCCCAGTAGACCTTCACTTGGGCATTCGTTGAATTGGCCCTGCCCCTTACATGGCCTGTGACTAATAGGTTGGCACAGAAGCATGCCCTCTCGAGGCCCCCTGACGTCATTCTCTTTCTCAGAGAGCTTTGCTTGGGCACCTCCTCTAAAGGGAAGTTCCTGTGTGACCGCACACTGGATGCTTCTGTGCTAAGTCTCCCCAGTCACTGTCAAGTCGACTTGGAATTCTTACCCAAAACATCATAGGTTGGAAATGATCCAAGAACTCAGAGGCGGGGGCGGGGGGGCGGGAGAGAAGAAATTATTTTCTCTATGAGATTATGCAGGCTGAACTATAGACCTTGCTGCTTCTAGGGTCCAGGGGTCTGACACCTGCCCTACCAAGACATGTCCGGCTATTTGAAACCTTCAACAGTACAGTTGGCACCTTCAGACAGTTATTTGCATCTCTCTGCTGTCTGACAGGATAGCGTGCTAGTAGTGACTTGCCTTCCAGGAGTACCCGATGAGTTACCCATGCCTGAGTTTCTGACTAGGTGTTATATCACTTTTCTGTGTTCTGTTTGAAAGGGTCGGTGACTCAGAGGGCATCATCACCTTTACTCCAGTCTGAAACCTTTCCATCTTTACCAGGCGGTCTGCTCCTATTCATTATGCATCCCTGTTGTCAGGGCGAGTCTCTTACATCCCTGACAGCTCTTTCCCCGGAATGCTTACATTTAGTGAAAGAGGGGTTTGTTTTTCAGTTAAACATAAGATGGAATAAATGCCAATTTTTCCCCTCTAAAGCCAGTGTTCATTTATTACCCCGTAATGGTGATACAAATATTGTGTATTGTGTATTGTGTATCATTTGCAGTGGGCCTTACAGGGGAACACAAAGGTTATAAAAGAAAAAAAAAAAGATGACATAGGTTCTCCCAGGAATTAGTGACTCAGTACAAGAAGCAAGAAACGAAGATAATAGATAATGGAAATTGTAGTCATTGTACAGGAGTAAACACTAAGTGCTCTGGAAGATATTTTATTCTGGGGTAAAATCTCAAGTACTAATTAAACTAGATTTTGAAGGATAGATATAAACACTGCAAAAAGAAGCATAATACAGAAAGAATATAAAAAAGAAGGAATGAATATTTAATTATTTTATGGAATCCACACATATTTGTTGGTCACCCCCTGTGTGCCCAGCATAATGTTTATAAATAAAGTCGCATATGCTGGAAAGTGTAGGACTGACCTGTTGAAAAATCTTTTCTTGATTGGCACATAAAGAGAAAATTTTAGATAGAAAGCTGATTAGGTTGGCATGAAGTGGCCCAGAAGATCTTGGATGCCAAAGTAGAAGAGAACTTATCTATTTAGTTTTTCTTAGTAAGTGAAGATATTTCTAAAGTTAATATAATAGTGAAAGATGTTGGAGAGCTGCTCCATCAGGCAGGTTATCGCCACCTGTGTACATCAGATACTTGGTACTTGCTTTCCATCATGATGATGTTCGTATAAGAATTAAACTGCATCTGTTTCCTTGGCAGCCTTTTGAGTTAAACTTTTCACTTGACTCAGGAGAAAAAAAGCTGCTTGTCCTCCTTTATGAGAAATAAACCTTGACTCATGAGGAGGCTTGTCTGGGCACATTTAACAAGTAACAGGAAATTGTGTTTTCAGGGCTTTTGAGTTGTTGGCTTTCATTGTAAAGAAAGAAACAATTTTGAGGCTAGAGAGATAGTAGATGGGTTGAAACACATGCCGTGGTCCAGCTTCCCAGGGTTCCCCAAGCATCACTGGGTGAAACTCTGGGGGCACTAGAGCATCTCTCAGAAGGCTGGAATGACCCCTGATACTCCCAGGCCGAACTGAGTGCATCCTTGGGTCCTAGCATTAAAGTCAGTATGACTGACCAAGGATAACTGGGCATCTTTCCCCACCCCTCAGACAGACCAGTCATTTAATATTCTAAGGATGAAGCCAAAACGGGAATGGTCAGTACTTCTGGTGTTTAAAGTCTCTGAAGCTAGGTCTGAGACCTTCTAATTGAGGCATTTAGCTGCTAATAAAAGAGAAAGCACCACATATATGAGTTCTTTACTCTGAGCCATGTCATTTTATTATTCTCATTTTTTTCTGTGAGAAGAAAGACTTTGAAGGGTAAAGTAATTTGCTTTGTGCCATTGAAGTAGTGGAACTAAGCCTCTGTCCTCCCTGTTCCCACATTCTTCTTTTTTGAGGGGGTATAGGGGCAGATTGGGCCACACCCAGCAATGTTCAGGGGTTATTTCCTGCCTCTGCACTCAGGAATTACTCCTGGTGGTACTCAGGGGACCGTATGGGATGCCAGGAATTGAACCCAAGTCGGCCTCATGCAAGGGCCTATCTGCTGTACCAGCACTCTGGCCCCTGTTCCTATATTCTGTACAGACTAAAGACTGACAGTCTGGGAATAGTAGGAATGGAATGGATTCCATAACCAGTACCACATGCTCCCCTGAGTACTGTCAGGTGTGACCCCAAAACCAAAAAAAAAAGGATTAGTCCTAATAGCTACTCATGACTTAATGAGTCAGCATCTCTAAGTGAGGGGCTCAGAAGTCAACAGGTAAGAATCCTTTAAGTGACTCCTGTGTACTGCAGAGTTCGAGTACTACTACTTTAAGACTCTGCCATGAAATTGTGGAGCTGAAAGTGGGGAGGAGCTGGGGGTAGGGATGGGAACTGAAGGAGGAATGACTCTGAGTTGGGGTTCAGTGGTGAGTAGCATCTAATACAGAAGACTTTGAACAGGGAACTGTTAAAAGAGAGTCCCCTTACAGGAGTCCCAAGTAAATCATAGAACAGAAAATCCTCACAGGGAGGTAAGTTATCCCAACACAGCTTTGGGGAATCAAAGCCATTGTCTTGATAGAGGACAGGGAATGAAGGGCCATTGTGTTCCAGGGTTGGGTGCCTTCTAAAGATAGACACCAGCTTGTCAGGCAAGAAGCTCGCCTGGAATTTCATCTTAGTTGCCATGGCTACTGGCTGATGTAACCAAGATTCCCTGAGAGACTCTGTGGACCAGACTGGTAGTCAGGTGACACTAATCATTCTTATTTGCAGCGACAGCTTAATTACCTTGAACTTCATTTTTGCATAACTATTTCAACTTGTCAAGTTGGGCTTTTGCATTCAGACAAACCTAGGTGAAGGAAGCCTAACTCTGCAATTTTTGACTGTTAATCCGTATCTCTGACTGTGTAGTAAAGGGGTGTTAGGGGTGAGACTGAAGTGTTCGGGTGGTACTCTACTTGTTCCGCAGCCAGTAGAAAAGTTAGGGAACCAGTCAGCCTTTCCCCACTTAGAGAATCAAGTTTTCCTGGGTAACCGATGCCTGCGTGTCCAGGAGCGAACTGTGGTGTAGGCAGTTGGCTGTTCCTGTCAAGACTCAGTAAGCAATTCCTTTTAGTAAAATGGAAAGGTTGCAGCTGGGAAAAGTGAGTGCCAGGCCAGTATACCGATTGTTATCACAGACTCACTGTTGAGTCTTTTCCTTTGCAATCACTGTCCCTTTTGGTGCACAGTTTGAGCTTTTGAGAGTCTTAAACACAATGACCAATCTTGAGGTCATCCTTTATCCTCTGAGATTATGGGGCCCATTAGCTCATTTCTGAGTTACTGATAGAGGAGGCTGAGGGTGGGGCTATGTGATCAGTCTGGACCTAGAGATAGGCCGACAGATTTCCTGACTCTGGGTAAACTCTATGTCCCAAACCATGCTTTTCCCTACATCTGACTCTAGAAGCCTCCATTTCTGTGTGTGGCCCACATAATACAAAATAGGTATTTCGAGTGGGGAGATGCTTGCTTTGCACGCAGAAGCCCTGGCCTTACTTAATCCTTTACACTTCATGACTTGTTACTTAAGTCCTGGCTGTGCTCAGGGACCGTGTGGTACATGGGCATCAAACTGGGGCTCCCAGTTGCATAACTCACCCTTTGTGCATACTCACTCTTTGAGCTGGTTCCACCACAGCCCTCTCCATCTCCCCCCCCCATCCCACATACACACACAGCCCTGAAGTAATGTGTTTTTAAAGTCAATTAATAAGTCCTGGCTTGGGGCAGCTCTCCCCGCATCGCAATTAGTCATCTGTGCCAACGTAGATGCTTTCTTATCAGCCCTTGTTGGTTTGGTGTTTGCTTTCTGTGCAGATCTGGAGCCCGTACAAGCAGCCAGGATGCACTGGAGACCTGGATGGCCGGATTGAGGATGATTCCCGTTGCCTGTACACCCACGAGGAGTACATCAGCCTGGTGCTCAACAGCGGGAGCGGCCTGTCGCACGACTACGCCAACCAGTCTGTGCAGGAAGACCCCCGGATGATGGCCTTCTTCGACTCGCTGGTGCGCCGGGAGATCGAGGGCTGGAGCTCCGACTCGGACAGCGACCTCAGCGAGAGCACCATCCTGCAGCTGCACGCCGGTGTCAGCGAGCGCTCGGGCTACACCGACTCGGAGTCCTCGGCCTCGCTGCCCCGCTCGCCGCCGCCCGCCGTGGACGAGCCTGGCGACAGCGCCTTCCACCTGGGGCCCCTGCGTGTGCCCGGTGCCAGCGCCAGCACAGGCGCAGGCGCTGGCGCCACTGCCAACGCCGCCTCCGCTGCCGCCCCCGCCACCAACGCCGCACCCTCGCCCCCGCCCCCGCCGGCCTGCGAAGACGCCACCGCGCGCCAGCAGCGCCTGTCCGCCCTGCGGCGCTACCAGGACAAGCGCCTGCTGGCGCTCTCCAACGAGTCCGACTCGGAGGAGAACGCCTGCGAGGTGGAGCTGGACACTGACCTCTTCCCCCGGCCTCGCTCGCCCAGCCCGGAGGAGGAGTCCAGCAGCTCGAGCAGCGCCAGCAGCTCCGAGGACGAGGAGGAGCTCAACGAGCGGCGCGCGTCCACCCGGCAGCGGAACGCGCTGCGGCGCCGCCAGAAGGCGCCCCGGGAGGAGCGGCCCAGCGCCCCCGCCAAGCCCGCCGACCCCTACGTCGGGGAGGACAACTACGACTACCCCCAGATCAAAGTGGACGACCTCTCCTCCTCTCCCACCTCCTCCCCCGAGCGAGGCGCTTCGGCGCTGGACGTGCAGCCCAGCCGGGCGTCGCCCACCTCCGACATCGAGTCGGTGGAGCGGAAGATCTACAAAGCCTACAAGTGGCTGCGCTACTCCTACATCTCCTACTCCAACAGCAAGGACGGCGAGAGCTCGCTGACGGCGGCCGAGGCGGACGAGGGCCGAGCGGGGACCAGCCGCAAGGACAGCCCGGCGCCCTCCTCCAGCCAGGAGGCCCGCGCCCACCCGGCCCCGGCGCCCCGCAGCCAGGACCAGCCGCCCGAAGGCTGCGCCAAGGAGGCCTTTCGGGAGGGGACCTGTGCCAGGAACGCCAGCGGTGGCCCCGGCCCCGAGCTCGGCGGCAGCCACCCGCGGGCGGAGGCTCCCGAGGACGCCGCCCCGGACCCCAACAACGGTGGGTCTGTAGAACACGCTTTTGAAACCAAGAAGCTCAATGGAAAGGCCCTGAGCAAGGCCCTGAGCGGCCGCGCCGAGGAAACGCCCTCTCCCCCTGCTCCCAAGACGTCTGGCTCCGCTGTGGGCAGCGGGGCTGGCAGCTGTCCCAGGACGCAGCCCCATGACAGCGAGGAGAGGAGCCTCGAGACCATCTGTGCCAACCACAACAATGGGCGCTTGCACCCCCGCCCCCCTCACCTCCCCAGCAACGGGCAGAACTTCGGGGAGCAGGAGGCGGCGGCCTGCTCTTCCGCGGGACATTCGGATACTGACCATGATAACTTGTCCATGGCGGGGCCCCTCTTGCACAAGGATTGCTGTGGGTCTGAAATGGCCTGTGAGGCCCCCAGTGCTGGAACGAGAGAGGACCCCCCGGAGCCCCCAGACACGGACAGCAACAGAGCCGGGCATGGTCATAGTGGCCACAAAAGGCACCGAGTTGAATTGGAAGATACAGATTCTGAGAATTCTTCTTCAGAGAAGAAATTAAAAACATGATAACTACAAAAGGGAAAATAAAGGGCTGCCCAGAAGGTAGCTTTACAAAAAAACAAAACAAAAAAAAAAATTCCTGTTTAGTGAACACAGAGAAAAGGAAAAAAAAAAGTATTAAAGGCACATAAAACCAGGGCCTGTAATTCTGTGTTGATGCTGCTCCCTTCTATTTAACAATGGGTCTGACTGTTGAGCTGACCATTGGCTTGTGCTGTTTTAATAAAAGTGGGTGGGGGGAATCCAAGTGACGCCTTTCTAGTGAGACTTGAGCATAGCGTTACCTGTGCAGAGCCTGTTAAAGTAAATCCTTGTTGAGATGTCTGACTTGTTCTTGTGTGTGTGCACTGGCAAGCATGAGCTCATTGTCTCATAGACTTTTCTTTCAGTTCTCCATCAGAAAGGATCAGTGGATCCACATCTCGCCCTGTTTACATGCCCAAGGTGTACTGGTCGTAATGATGAATGGCTGCTAAATCAGATTGTGCTGCCAGTGTGGATTTATGCTGGAAGAATGGAGAAGAGACCTGGCAGGAAAGCACGGCTCCTTTCCTAAAGGGCCTTGCCATGTTTTCTCTTCACTGAGCATTTAACTTAGACATACTAAAACATTGTTTTAAAGCTGATGAGAGAAGTTAGCTCTTAAGATCAGGTTTAAGAGAAAATAGTTCCCTGATAAATTTCACTGATTGCACATTGAGAGTGCACACATAGAGTATGGAGACCGTAAAATAGAACTACTTGTGGGTAACACTGACCAGTTAGGTGCTAGTCCATAGATACACGAAGGCTAGCAATCTCACTCACTCTTGGCCCCTGTGATGACATCTGTGTGTTTTGCAAGGAGGAAAAACCACTCTCAAGATATCTGTGCTTTATTTACTCAAGTGGAAGTTCTAGGTGCAGTAAGGAAGGGCAATGAAAAGCAGAGTGTGCTGTTGTATTCACTTCATTCTACCCAGAAGAATTGGTCAGAATAGATGGATTGGCATCTTCCCTCCGGCTTACAGTTGATGGAGACTGTGGTATTCAGATTAGATCTTGCAGGACAGAAGGCATCTCTAAGTAAAAGATTCTTAGTTAGTAGGTCTTTTAATAGGCAGAGGGACAGGAGAGAGAAGTCAGTGGGTTTTTTTTAATTTTGTTTTTTTTTTTAATTATTTTTAAAATTTTTTTTAGCATGCTTCCATTTATTTCACAATTTAACTTAGATCGGGGACAGTTTACTCTTCGTTCAAGTTTTAAAAGTGGCCACCAGCTAATTCACATTTCCCAGATTCGAAAGAGCAGCCTCGGGCTGGGGTTGAAGCATCCTGCTCGGCCCAGATGGGCAGCCCCACAGAGGCCCATGCCCACAGGCCTCTGACTCTGCTTTCCCCGATAGTCTCCCCTGAGCTGTGTCTACTCAAGGACCACCTGCTTTTCACAGGAGGGAAATTTGAAGGCTGTGGCTGCGCTCAGAACTTGAGAGGCAAGGCCACATTTTCCTTGTCCGCCTCAGGACTATGCTGGATCGGGGGCGAGGCCAGATGATCAGCTGCACTGCCTGGTGGCCGGGCACGGGCTCGTTGCTCCAGGACCACTCCAGGGTGATGAGGAAGAGGCCGATGAGGTGCTCGCAGGGTGCCACGATGATGAGAGAGACTTCCACGAGGGGAGCACTCTTGACTTAGATTTCTGGCTCCTAGAAGAGACTTGTATTTATTGTGATAGTTAAAGATGGAGGGGAGGCAAAAAAAAAAAAATCGAGATTTTTTTTTTTTCAGCACTGCAGCGATGGTTATAGTCACTTGGTTATCAGTGCAAGGTGAAACAAGACAGGAAGACCAATGAATGACCAGCAACTTTGTTGGCATCATGGTCATAAAAAGGCAGAGGAAACTGACAAGAATTGAGGAGGATGGGGAGAGAGAGCACTGTCCTGTGTGTGAACTCTAAAGTTCTAAACAGCTCGGAGCCCAGCTGGCACCAACAGGGAAGAGCTGGCGTGAGGGTCTGGCCTCTGCCCTCCCAGTAGAGGAGGGCCTCCTGCCTGGGACTTTGACCCAAAGGGAGGCAACCTGTCCAAGAGGAAGACTAGGAGGATCTAGGCTCTAGGGGAAAGGGGCTTATTGAAAAGGAAAGAAAGTTGCTGAACTCAGCCAAAAGGAGATGGCTTGCTAAGCTTTGTGAAAGAAAAGATGTGCCTGGTGTGTATGATGTGACTTGGGTGTGAACACACTGTTTTAGGAGGAGATGAGGCATATATAAGCGGTGGGGATGCGTGTAATTTAACAGCTGTAATCTCACCGGGGGAGTGGGGAAGAGATTCTGTAACCATTAGAATTACCGTGGATTTGTAATCAAAATGGTTCTATGATTTGTTTTTGACTATTCACAGATAATTGTAAATTCTGGTTTTATAAGCCCAAGTCATTTTACATTTGCTTTTCCAAAATTTATTAAATTGGACTTTTTTAATCCTTTGTATACAAAAAAAAATATGCCATCACTCAGTGTGTGTTTCTCTTCCCCTTCCTAGTCAGCATACCCGTTTTTTTTTTTTTCTGTTTTTATTTTACTTAATGTAATCCGTAGATAGTCTCTTCTGAGTTCTCTAAAGATAGTCCACTTCTCTTTCTAGAGGGAAAAAAAAAATGTTCAAGTTCACTTGGGAACTGGCCACTTAGTAGTTACATTTCCCAAATGCAGAGCTTGGTCTTTCCATGTTAAGAACCTTGACCTTGTTTGGGTACTCAAAAGAGAAGTCAAAGTTCATTCTGGTTCAACGGCTATATCCAAGAAAGATTAGTTTTAGCAAGGATGCCTTCCTTCTTTGGGGGAGACTATTCACAGCACCCCTGGTTCAACTTGCAAGGAGACAGGCCCTACCAGATAGCATAGGAGTAGGCTGAGAAACGCTGTCCAATTCCAGAAATCTAGCTCTGGTTGTGGGCCTGGAAACCTGATGGAATCACTTCCGAGGTTCCTTTGCTATGCCAGTGTTTCCCGAAGAGGGTGGCACTGCTCTCCCTGAGGGGACCCTGGCACTGGAATTGTGGTGGTCTCGTTCTCTTGGAGCTGGGTGATGCTTCCTCTTTCTACCTTTAGAGAAGGTATATTATCAAGCGTTTGCAAAATGATTTTTTTTCCTGAAAAAGGGGCAGTAGGCCAAATAAATTTGGGAACCTCTCACCTAAACTTATAGAATTAAGGCCCCAACATTAGGGGCATGTTTAATCCCAAAGTTCTTCCACAGTTGGTGTTTTCACTAGCGGGACAGATGGCACTAATTAGAATTCTTCAAAAGTGCCTCCTAGTGGCTTTTTTTTTTCCTGCATCCTGTACATAAAGTTTTAAGTGACTAGTCTGGATATGTAAAACTGTTTCTCCCGTTTGATTTCCTCCTGGTTTTGTAAGTGTTTCTGGGACAGCAGGTAAATGGATTAAATGACTAGTTGACTTGGGGCAAATGAAGGGTTACAACTGTGCTTGATTTCTTTAACAGGGAGCCCTCCTTTGTCAAGGAGCCTTCCTCTGCTGAAGCCTTACCTCCTCACAAGCCCCTCCTCTCCCAGCAAAGCCAGCTCTTCTCTTGTGTATATGCAAATAAACCTGTTACTCACCTCTCACGGCTTTCTCCTCTCTTCCAGGGAAGATGTGGTTGCTTGGACACCCCTCCTTCATTTCTTTCCTGTTTTAATTCTTGCCTCCTTGGACGTTTGATTCAAAATCACGCTGAAAAATAGAAGAAACATTGTGGTACTCCACATCCATTGCCAGTGGTTATTGTCCGCTGTAGGTATTGAAACACAGGTCATAATTTGGTCAGCAAAACATAGGGTAAGAGGAGACATCTGCTTCAGCAGACATGGGAGAGTAAGATTCTGGTATTTAGAGCTAAGAGAGTGAGGCAGCGAAGTGCCATTATATAGACAGCCCAGAAGATGTTTCCAGATATCAGATTGCTTTTCCTGCCCCTTCCCAGGACATGCACTGCAAATGTTTACTTAATTATTTTGGGTTGGGGGCAACTCCCAGCAGTGCTCAGGGCTTACTCCTGAGTACAGATACTCAGGGGTCACTCCTCGCAGGGCAGGGCTCAGGGCATCATTCACAGTGACAGAAATCAATCCACAATCAGCCACATACTTAATCCCTGCACAACCTGGCCCTGCAAATGTGTTTGTTTGCTTTTAAAGAACAACAAGCCAGCATCTGTCCTAACCATAAAGCTGCCTCCTTTAGTTCAGTGGAAAATTCTTGGCCAACCAACACTCCTGTGGGAAAAACACTCTTCCAAAAGAAGGCTGTGCCCTTCCTTAATATCTTAGGAGGGCTGCATGCAGGTTTGAAACTTCAGTGTGAAATAAGGCTCAGGGAGTCAGACCCCGAGCAACGGAGCTGCAGCTTTGCACATATGGTGTGGGTCAGGTGGGATCGTTCATTTACCTTTAAGGACTCATACTCTAATGAAATATCTTGAATGTAAGAGGCTGGGAAGAATGAAATATCTTGAATGTAAGAGGCTGGGAAGTCACTTTCTTAAAAGAACAGTGTGTTCCACGTGCAACAACAGAAAAGTGGAGAGAAAGTCTTAAGTCATCTGCCCTCTGGTTTCCACTTCACCATGGCTACTGAGCCGGTGAGGTGCTTCCCAGAATGCAGACTCAGAGGCAGTGATCATTGCCTTCACTGGGGCCTGTGCCAACATGACCAGGGACAAGCAGGAGTTGCTCACTTCCCTTTGCTCGGTAGGTTTATGTGAACCATGACTGTCTTGTACACAAGCACTATAAGACAGAGGGGCAACTAGTATTTAAAATGACTTGAGTCTCCTGCCCCATCTGCCTTTGTTAGTCCATCCAGTCCCCATTCCCATCCTGCGCTTTTCTTAGTCGCCGCCCTCACCCCCACACACATCCCTTATCAAAGCGAGAAAGAGTAAAATATCTAGAAACCTAAGTGCCAACATGAGATCTCAGGCCTAGAGATGTCTTTGTAGTCTAAGAAAGCTGGGGGAGGTGGGGGGTATTGGGAGTGGGGTTGCAGTGCCCGAGATATTCTATTAGGAAGTCTCTGTCATGGAAGGAGTGAGATGCTGTATGGGTAAAACAACTTTCAAAATCCACATAACTAGCATTGAATATGCAATAGATTGACTGGCCTCTGGAATACTCCATCACCAAAATTCTCTAAACCCCCCTCAGGTAAAATCTCAATTTCCAACCGAAATAAGTATGTATGATTGCCTTTGGAGAAGTATAATCTGGACGCCAGCACACCCAAGCACTAAGCAGGCCAGTGTATGCTGGCGGATTCTGGCATAGGCTTTCTGAGGGGAACAGACATCTCAATTCCCTAGCCACCTCATTAAATTTTCATGCCTTGAGGCCAAAGAAGTAGTGGGTAAGGTTCTGTCAGTTCAATCCCCAAGACCCCATATCACTCTGAGCCCCGCCAGGAGTGATCCCTGAAAGAGCCAGGAATAAGCCCGGAGCAACACCAGGTGTGGCCTCAAACCAAAAAATTCGTTTTCTCAAGAGTCCATGTTCTCTAGCATTTCTGGTCTCCAAGACCCCCCGCCTTAAATGGTCATAGCTAGCATGTTTTTCTCCTAAGCGGGACCTGTGAGCAGGGCGGAAAAGCATTGACAGCAGAAGAGGTCGCATCTAGGCTAGGTTTCTGATGAAAAACAAGCTGCAGGAGCCCAGGGCAAACCAAACTCAGAAACTGAAATGGAGGCTCCTTTCCATCCTCTGAAGTCTGATTCCTTCCATTCGATGGGCTTCTAGACCCCATTCTGGTACACTCCGCATGCATGAGGCATCCCGGCTATACCCTCCTCAGCCAATCAGGGCACCAGGATCTTTGGCCATTGTCTACCTGCTCAGAGCTCCAAACTCTTCATCTATGGTGTGGGGAAAGCACCTGCCTTGCACTCTGTCTGGAGCCTAGAATAGTGCACGTTATGTAGAAAGCTTTGTTTGGCATCCTTGGCGTAGCTGCTCTTCCACTCCCATTGCTGGTCATTAGCAGTGTGGTGCGACACAGTTTTGGGGGATGGGGTCTGACAAGAAATACGGAAAGTAAAAGTTAAAAACCTTCATCTGAAATCACAGGAAAAAGTCAAGTATGCCTATTAAATAGACCTGACTAAAGCTGCTCTGAGGCTTTGGATAAAGACTCTGTCAGAGTTCGGAGCTTGAAGGAAGCCCCACCTGACTGACAGGCTGTGGGTCACTGCTTGATAGCAGTCTGCAGGGCTTGAGGGAAGAGTAGCAACCAACATTAACCTTAGTCTCCAACAGCTGTGCTGAGGACGGCCCAGATCTTGGGAACTGGAGCAGCAAACTTCTCTCTGACCTTCTGTGCTGCCATCTCCCAATCAGGAATGAGGAAAAACAGCAGCCACATCAATGCTCTATGCCAAAGAGCATTTTTTTTCTTTAAAACTTTTTTTTTTATTAAATCACTGTGAGAGGGGCTGGAGTGATAGCACAGCGGGTAGGGCGTTTGCCTTGCACGTGGCCTGACCCGGGTTTGATTCCCAGCATCCCATATGGTCCCCTGAACACCGCCGGGAGTAATTCCTGAGTGCATAAACCAGGAGTAATCCCTGTGCATCACTGGGTGTGACCCAAAAAACAAAATAATAATAATAATAATAATAATAAAATAAATCACTGTGAGATACACAGCTATGAAGTTGTTCAGGTCTCAGTCATACAATGTTCCATCACCTGTCCACATTTCCCATCACCAGTGCCCCCAGTTTCCCTCCTGTCCAACCTCCAGCCTGCTACATTTATTCTTTATATTCTCACACATTTATATGCACTTTATGTTCTTATTCTTAAAACAGTATTTGAAAATAGCACAATTTAGAGAAAGGAGACAAGGTTTTATATTGTCTATGTTTATCTTAATTTGACAGTCAAATACTCCGAGTATTTTTTTAGTTCCTCTCCCCCTTTTATGAAAGACCAACTTTCCTTTGATACAGGACTCTCCTACCAAAATGTTTTAAGTCTTAAGCCCCTCTTTACCATAAATATTGATTTCATTTTCTATTCATAAAGCATTCAGGTCTTTTAACCCTTAAAATACCAACTTCCTAACTTCAAAACTCTAAACTGGGGCTGGAGCCATAGCACAGCAGGTAGGGTGTTTGCCTAGCACGCAGCCGACCCGGATTCAATTCCCAGCATCCCATAGGGTCCCCTGAGCATTGCCAGGAGTAATTCCTGAGTGCATAAGCCAGGAGTAACCCCTGTGCATCGCAGGTGTGACCCAAAAAGCACCCCCCCAAAAAAAATGTAAATTGCACAAGATGGTGTTACTTCACCATTTCCAACCTCCCTCTCCCTGCGAAGGGAGGCAGCTAGCCCTCTTCTGCTATAAGAACACCAATGCAGGCAGGACTGGTGTCTTGCTGAGGTGGCGGTTTTGGTTCTGTGCCAAAATCTTGACCAGTGTTTTCCATGCTGAGTGGTTGCACGTGG